GTCTAGGCAACAGAGTGAGACTCCAACTCAAAAAAAAAAAAAAGAAGAATGCCTCTGTTCTTAGATGATCTATGTGGAAGTATTTAGTGTGAATTCTCGTGATATCTCCAGCCTGCTTTCAAATGGCTCATCAAACAACAAAATCAACATATAGAGGGAAGAGTGAAAATGTGGCAAAAATGTCCCAAATCACCCTAAATAGCCAAAATAATCTTGAAAAAGAACAAGGCTGGAGGACTCTCCTAGTGCAGTTCAAAATGTATTACAATGGTACAGTAATGAAAAAACTGTACTAGTATTGACAAAAGACAGAGAGGAAGATCAACAGAACAGAATTAGCACCCAGAAATAAACCCTTACATTCATGGACAACTGATTTTTTGGGGGGGGAGGGTTGGAGTCTCACTCTGTCGCCAAGACTAGAATGCAGTGGCATGCTCCTGGCCACCATAGCCTCGACCTGCTGGGCTCCAGCGATCCTTCTGTATCACCCTTCCAAGTAGCTGGAACTACAGGCGTGTGCTATCATACCCGGCTAATTTTTATCTATTGTAGAGACAAGGTCTCACCAAGTTGCCCGGGTGAGTCTCGAACCTGTGGGCTCAGGCAATTCACTCGCCTCGGCCTCCCAAAGTGCTGGGATTACACTCACTTTCACCCAAGCTGGAGTGCAGTAGCTTGATCCTAGAGACTCAAGCGATCCTCCAGCCTCAGACTTCCAAGCAGCTGGGACTGCAGGTGCGCACCACCATGCTCAGTTAATTTTTTGTAGAGACAAGGCCTCACTATGTTGCCCAGGCTAGTCTTGAACTCCTGGGCTCAAGCAATCCTCCTGCCTTGGCCTCCCAAAGTGCTGGGATTACAGGTGTGAGCCACTATGCCAGGCCAGTTGCTTATCTTTTTGTTGTTGAGTTAAGAGTTCTTTTTTGTTTTTTTGAGTTGGAGTTTTACTCCATTGCCCAACGGAGACCCTGTTTCAAAAAAAAAGCAACCCAATTAAAAAACGGGCAAAGACCCTGAACAGACATTTCTTCAAAGAAGGTATACAAATGGCCAATAAACACAGTAAGATCCCAGCTACTGAGGAAGCTGAAGCAGAAGGATCATTTGAGACCAGGAACTCAAGGCTGCAGTAACTTGTGATCACACTTACTGCACTCCAGCCTAGGTGATAGAGCAAGCCCCCTATCTTTAAAAAAAACAGAGACTCAAATACTTGTACACTAATATTCATAGTGGTACTATTCATAATAGCCAAAAGGTAGAAACACAACCCAAAAGTCCATCAAATATAGCACAGCTATAAAATGAAACATTCAGTCATAAAATGAAGCGCAGCACTGATATCGCAGCACTGATACAAGCTGTAACACAGATGAACCTCAGAAGCACTATGCTCAGGGAAAGAAATGACACAAAAGGTCACATGATACATGGTTCTACTTCTATGAAATATTCCCAGAAAGCAAACTGGTGGTGGCCAAGGGCTGAGGGAAGGCAGGAATAGGAACACTGCTTAATAAATGTGGGGCTTCCTGTTGGGGTGATGAAATCATTTTGAATAGACAGAGGTGATGGTTACACAACACTGCAAAAAGTGGTAGATTTTTTGTTATGTGAATTTTACCTCAATAGAAAAAGAAAAATGTTTTCAAGCACAAGTTCAGATGTGAGGGCCCATAGGGTGGGGCTAGAGGGTAACTCCCCACCACACCCTCCCATGAGGAGCCAGGCCGCCCTCCTGAGGGGGGAGAAGGAAGAGGGGACTGGCAGTGCCACAGGCTCACAGCCACGCCATCCCACTGGGTATCCAAGACCCAGTGCTCCCAGATCCAGCTATAAGAGAGTCCCAGAAGGGACACTCCAGCTTGGCACCATGCCCATGCCCACACCCCTCCTGGGACAGGAGATAGTATGGATCTGTGGGCCACGCCTGGGCAAAGCAAGTCAACCCAAGGAGCCTGTTTACAAGGCAGCCTGGCAACTCAACAGCTGCCCTGGGTGCCCCTCTCCAACCTGGCGCCAGGCAGGCGACCGCAGGACCTGAGGCCAAGGGAAGCTTAGCTGTGTTCAGCAAGGTCTGGGTGTGGCAGGGAGGCGATGCTCAGGGTGGGCTGATCCGCCTCACCCAGCAGCCTCCAGAGCCCACGAAGCTGGCATTTTCTGAAAGTCCCAGCTTTACCTCAGGTCAGTCCCTGGCACACAGGAGACACATGGGAAGTACTGACAAACCACAAAGAAAAGAAAACATGCAGCCCGCATTCCTCCCTGCTTTTAAAAACCTTCACTAAGAAGGCATCCAGGTTTTCAAGCTCTGTACCCCCTCATTCATCAAGCCTCTCCCCTGCCCAGCCTCCTCCCCCATAGCCATACTCAACACTCTCACCTCTACGTGGGCCAGGCTCCCAGCCTTTGCACATGCTGTCCCTCTGATCACCCTCCTCCTGTTCCCCTTGCTAGGATGGGCCCAATGGACAGCTATACCCCTGGCCCAGGGTCGCCTGTGGTCAGGCAGGGACTGCACAGCCAGCCTCCTGGCTCCTGGATGGCACTGCAGGAGGAGGGCAGGAGGAGGCCCTAAGGCCTGGGGCCCTCAGTGGTCTGGATGATCTGGCAGTGGTAAATTGGTCCCCAGACATAAGGGCTTGCCTGGCAGGAAACCTGGTGGCCCCCAAGGCCAGCAACTGTCCCCTCAGGGTGTCTTTATTCAGCAAATAATCATAGTGGCCATGCTGTGAAAGGAGGTAGGACCTCAAGGGCCTGAAACTCAGAAAGGCCCTCAGTGTCGGCCTCAGAGACTAACCTAGAAAGCACCACTGTTGGCACATCAGGGGGCAGGAGGAGGGAACAGCAGGCAGGGACTACCGAAAGGGGGCTCAGGGGCCAGAAGCTGTGCTAGATTCTGGCCAGCCAAGGTAGGTCCGGAGCTGGGAATGTCTGGGGAGGCTTTTCCGGAGAGGCTCTTGAAGCAGGTCTCCCACTGGGATCCCAAAGGACACTCCAGGGCTGAGAGGCATTCCCAATGCTTGGCCACCCCTTCCGGAACCACCTTGGCTGGCCGAGCTTCCGGCCCCTGAGCCCCCTTTCGGTAGTCCCTGCCTGCTGTTCCCTCCTCCTGCCCCCTGATGTGCCAACAGTGGTGCTTTCTAGATTAGTCTCTGAGGCCGACACTGAGGACCTTTCTGAGTTTCAGGCCCTTGAGGTTCTACTTCCTTTCACAGCACAGCCACTATGATTAGCCCAGCCCTGCTCACCCACAGCACCAGGAAGGAGGGGCTGGGGTGGAATCAGTCTGGCTCCCCAGGAAACAGGTCCTCCCTAGGTATCCGTGTCACAAAGCCCACACTGGCTGAGGCCATGATGTCACACGACGCACAAGTGACAATGCTCTTGGGGTCAGGCTCTGTTCTGGTACTGTGTGTGGGCCCCTCACTTTCTCCTTCTATCACCCTTGGGTGTAGCTACTGTCACTTCCCCGTTTGCTCAGAGAGA